TTACTGAATGTGAAGAGGACTTAAAACATTTACTGATGAAGATCAAAGAGCACAGCCTTCAGTATGGATTACATCTCAATGTAAAAAAAAACAAAAATCCACTCCACTGAACCAATAAACAACATTCTTATCAACAGAGAAATGATTGAAGTTGTCAAAGTGTTCATTCTTCTTGAATCGACTATCAACACTCACTCAGTCAAGAAATCGAATGACGTATTGCATTAGGCAAATCTGCACATGACCTTTTTCAAGTGTTGAAGAGCAAAAATGTCAGCTTGAGGACTAAGGTGCACCTGACCCAAGCCATGATGTTTTCAATAACCTATGCATACAGAAGCTTGACAGTGAATAAGGAAGACTGTAGAAGAATTAATGCCTTTGATTTATGGTGGCCTTTGATTTATGGTGCTGGAGGAAACTATTGAAAGTGCCATGGGCTGCCAAAAGAATCCATAGATCTGTTTTGGAAGAAGTGCAGCAGAGTGCTCCTTAGAGGCCAGGATGACCAAACTTCGTCTCTCATACTTTGGACATATTGTCAGGAAGAAGCAATCGCTGGAGAGGAATATCATGTTTGGTAAGGTGGAGAGTCAGAGAAAAAGAGGAAGACCCTCAATGAGATGGATTGGCCAAGTGACAGCATCAATGGACTCAAGCGTGGCAACAATAGTGAGGTTGTGCATAAGGCTGCTATTGGTCGGTACCAATTCGATGGCACGTAACTACAACATCTTTTTGCTATTGTCAGTAGTGCTGCTATGAACATAGGTGTGCATATATCTACTCATGTTATGGCTCATATTTCTTGTGGGTAAATACCAAGTAGAGGAATTGCTGGATCATTAGGTATTTCTATTTCCAACCTTCTGAGGAAGCACCATATTACTTTCTAGAGTGGGTCCACGATTTTGTAATCCCACCAGCAATGCAGGAGTGTCCCAGTCTCTCCACATCCCTGCCAGCATTTATTGTGATCTTTGCTGTTACTGATGGTGTGAGATGTTATCTCGTTGTTTTGATTTGCTTCTCTCTAATAGTTAGTGATTTGAACATGTCTTCATATGTTTGTTGGCTGTTTGGATCTCCTTCTTGGTGAAGTGTCTGTTCATGTCCTGTGCCCATTTTTTAATTGGGTTATTTGTCTTTTTCTTGGAGAGGTGTTGTAGTTTCCTATATATTTTAGAAATAAGCCCTTGACTGATGTGCAATTGCCAAAGAATTTTTCCCATTCTGTGGGTTCCTTTTTTCCTCTTCTGTTGAAGTCTTTTGATGTACATTAAGTTTTTAATTTTGTATGTCCCACTCATCTATTTTGTCTACTCTTGTTTGTGTAGTTTTCAAAATGTTTTGTAGTCTGTGTATTCCCTGAATTAGTGCCCTCACATTTGTCCCTATTTTTTTATTGCTGGCCTTCATAATTCTGGGATTCACATTTAGGTCTTTAATCCATGTTGAGTTGGGTTTTGTATAAGGTGTGAAGTGAAGGTCTTGTTTCAGTCTTTTGCATATCACTTTTCAGTTCTGCCTGCACCATCTGTTGAAGAGACTATCACTTCCCCATGCGATATATTTAGGCATTTTGTCAAAAATAAATTGGCTGTATATATATGGGTTAATTTCTGGATTCTCGATTCTGTTCCATTGATCTATGTATCTTTCATTGTACTAATACCAAGCTGTTTTGACCACTGTAGCCATGTAGTAAAATATGAAGTTAGGGTGTGAGAAGTTTCCAACCTTATTCTTCTTAAGCAGTGCTTTGCTTATCCTGAGTCTCTTTCCTTTCCATATAAAGTCTGTAATTTTTTCCCATCTCTTTGAAGAATGTCGTTGGAATCTGGATTGGGATTGCATTATATGTGTAAATTGCTTTGGGCAGTATTGACATTTTCACAATGTTAAATCTTCTTTCCTGGAGCATGGTACTTTCTTCCACTTTTGTAGGTCTCTTTTGGTTTCTTATAGTAGTGTTTTGTAGTTTTCTTTGTATAAGTCCTTTGTTTCTCTGGTTACATTTATTTCTAGATACTTCATCCTCTGGGTGGCTATTGTAAATGGTGTTGCTTTCCTAACGTGCTTTTCAATGCTGTCGTTTTTGGTATAGAAGAATCCAACGGATTTTTGTATATTGATCTTATATCCTGCCCCTTTGCTGAATCTTGTAATGATCAATACATCTTGATTGCATGTTTGATCAATTTCAGATTGAAGAATTTGGTAGAATTCTTCTATTTCATCCTCACTGGCTTTAGTGGTTGGTGCATAAATTTGAATAATAGTGGTATTAACTGGGCTTCCCTGTAGGCACATGGATATTATCCTATCACAGACAGCTTTGTACCTCATGACTGATCTGGATGTGTTCTTTTTGACAATGAATGCAACACCACTCCTCTTCAATTTGTCATTTCCGGCATAGTAAACCATGTGGTCATCAGATTCAAAATGGCCAATACCAGTCCATTTCACCTCACTAATGCCTAAGATAACGATGTTTATGCATTCCATTTAATTTTTGACAACTACCAATTTTCCCAGATTCATACTTCGTACATTCTGTGTTCCGATTTTCAGTGGATGTTTACAGCTGTTTCTCTTCATTTGAGTTGCACCGCATCAGCAAATGAAGGTCCCGCAGGCTTTTCTCTCATGGGCTTTACTCCATTTGTGTTATCACGGTCAATTCTACTTTGAGGAGACAGCTTTTCCCCAGTCACATTTTGAGTGTCTTCCAATCCAAGGAGCTCGTTTTCCGGCACTATAGCTGACTGTTTCTCTGCTATTCATAAGGTTTTCCTTGACTAAATATTCGGAAGTAGTTCATTACTCCTTCTTCCTCATCTGCCTTTGTCGGGAAGCTCATCTGAAACCTGTCCACCATGTGTGACCCTACTGGTATTTAAAATATTGGTGGCATAGCTTTCAGAATCATAGCAACTCACAAGCCACCACAGTACGACAAACTGACAGGCGAGTGGTAGAACATTCTTATTAGATAGATAATATTAACACTTCTCTCATTAATATTATTAGGTTCAAAAGACCAATTTATTATATAGAAACTGGCATTATTTGAAAATAAAAATGGAGCATGACCATATCATTACACAGCTGGCAAACCACTTAGAATCATGGCCCAGCCAAGTTGACATATAACTTAAACCATCACATCCAGTGATACTCTTGCCTAGCAAGTCAACATTTGTTATTGCCAGACATACTTCATTAATAAACAAAATAGTATATATATATTTTTCTATTGTCATAATGCAAAATGTCAAATAATAAGACAGTCAATAAGCAAGGAACTGGGTGTATTCCCATTCAGAAATGAAATAACTGAGGCACAGAGAAGTCAAATCTTTTGCCCAGGACCACACTGCTTATAAGTGGCAGAGTTGAGATTCAAACTTGGGTAGTCTGGCTGCTATTATACTGCCTAAAATGAACTGTGTATTTGTACATCATGATACTGCTAGTTTCTGAATGAGACTTTTAAATAAAATACTTCACCTTGATTTGGAGAGCTAAATTTTCATCCTGAGTTATTGAAGAACACTTTTATTCTAAAAATGTTAGACTTTTTTATTTTTATCATTCCTCAAATCATATTTTAAATTATGTATTTTTTCTTTTTCTTTTATATTTAAGTAAAAAATATTATTCTTTGATTCTTAAAAATATTGTATCCTTATCATGATATTATGTCTGAAGTGCTCTTGAAAAAATAATAATTTTTTATTTATTGTTACTCTATCTTAAAATCTGAACTGTCATTAATGATCTTCCTTAATCATTCCTCCTTTTTTGTCTACCTGTGTATTACTAATGGCTGAATTGGTTTCTTTCTGTTGTTTGTTTTCTTTTTTCAGCAATGCGGCCACTTTGTATGTCTCACAGTTTTGACTTGTCAGGTAAAAAAAATAAAAGCACTTTCACACCTGACATGAATTTTGTGCTTTCTGTGAACTACATGTCATTCATTTCCTTGTTCAAACATCCCCAAAAGAAAATTGAAAGACTTCTTCAGCTATGGTCAATGAAATAAAACATTCTGCTTATTGGAAACAATATAGTTAGAAAGATTAAAACTACAATAAACTCATTTTCTCTGTAGTAGAGTATGGTCTCAAAGAATGGGCAAGAGCTGTCTTGTTCCCCCGCCTCATGTAGGACAGAGACTTGTCACTAATGAATTGAAATGTTAAAGAGTATAGAAATGTAAGAGCATTATGATAACTTTGGTTTTAATATGGAATTTTATTCCCCACTTTTGTAATGATGCTCAAACTCTGCCTATATAATGTTGTTGTCGTTAAGTGCGGTCAAGCAAGTTCTGACCCACAGCTACCCTGTATAGGGTTTCTGAGGAGTGGCTGGTGAGCTTGAACCGCCAATTATACGGTTCAAACTGACTTTGCAGTCCAGTGCATTAACCCACAGTGCCACACCAGAACTCTATAAGAGTAATTATTGTTGTGTTCCATTGAGTCAGTTCCAACCCATTGCTACCCTGTATAGGGTTTATGAGGAGCGGCTGATGAGCTTGAACCACCAACCTTGTGATTCAAACCAACTTTGTAATCTAGTGCATTAACCCACAGCGCCACACCAGAACTCCATCTATTAAATTGAGAGGGGTTAATAGATAAATGGAGTCCTGATGTGGCGCTGTGGGTTAATGCGCCAGACTGCAAAGCCATTTGAACTGCAAGGTCGGCAGTTCGAGCTCACCAGCTACTCCTCTGAAACCCTATATAGGTCGCTATGGGTTGGAATCAACTTGGTGGCACTTAACAACAACTAGATGAATGGACTCCTGTTGTGGCGCTGTAGGTTCAGCACTGGACTGTGAACCAAAAGAGCAGCAGTTCAAACCCACCACCTGTTCCTCAGAAACTCTATGCAGGGTCACTATGAGTCAGAACCAACTCCAGGCTCTTAGTAACAACAATAATATATAAATAGCTATTAAGGATCAAATTAGATCTGTTAAATTGGTCCCTTTTTTTTGAGTTTTTAAACTACGTATAAGCCAACTCAACCTCAAAATATTTCACACGCTAGGATTTTTAATTACTATTTTGAATGTAAAATGAGATAAGATATGGACACTAGTGTTCTGTTTCAGAATTTTCTTTTCCTTTGTATTCCAAAAGTATCTCTTAAGTTATAGGGATTTGTTGGTATTCCTTACATAAAAATTCGTATTTTAAAAGAGCGTTCTTGTATGAGATTCCACATATGACTGTATACTGAATTAAACTAATTTCTAATTATTTTTAAATTTTTAGTTTATTCTTATAGGTCTCAGGCATGCTTCTAATACTTACAGTTTAAAGAAAGTCACATAAATATTTCAGTCTTCATGTAATATTTTTGACTGACCACTGAAGAGGTTTTTCTGTTTTCTTTATCCATTTGATTATTTTATCCATTATTTGACTTATGAGAGTGATCCTGTAAAAAAAGTTGCTCTGGGAAATAAACTGAGATATTTTGGAAAATATGTGCTACATTCATCTATAAAAATTGGCAGTATACATTATAGACAGTCCATGTCTTTTGAATGTCTCCTGAAGCTGCCCATCAGTTGGATTGTAAGGGATTGGTTTCCTATGGAAGCAGTGAGCAGCTTTTCCCCCGGGCCAATCTTAAAATGCAAATACTCACTGGCACAGTTTACTCAGTGAAGTGTGCCTGTACGAGGGCAGAGTGCTTGTACTTCAGCTCATTGGTGTTAAAAGCATATTTTTTTCCATCATGATGTAAAGGTTTTATCTGGTTTCACTGCTTATCACTTGCTATCATTTATTTTGTAACTTCATGATTTCCAGTGGCTTCGTACTCAGTTTCTTTTGCTACTTTTCTGTTTTTCATGATTACATTTTGACTAAATAAGATGTCTGAAAATATTGAAAAATGAACAAAGAGTAAACATAAATTATACCTCTGAACTTAAATGCAGAATAGTCATAAATACAATCAAGTATGTCTAAGAAATATTGTTAGTGGAAAGCATAGCAATCCAATCAACATCAATTAAGGTAAGTATAGCTTTTTTTCCTGTGCGTATATCAAGTATATAAACTGTACACCACTCATATTTTATCCAGCCGAATAAGGCATCACCTAGATATATTTACTACATATTAAGTTACCGTTTTTAACATTATGAATACACATTTTATATTTTTAAAATAAAGTATGTGATGTCTAAAGCTATATATAGCATCTTAAATATTTTACTTACATATAAATAGCACCAATATTTTCTTAAGAAATGTTCCATCATATGGAAGAACAGGAGAGCACAATGGCTCTGTATGATAAGCACTGGACTGAGAACCACAGGGTCTATGGTTCAAGCTCGTCAACTGTTGTACTGGAGAAGACGAGGCTTTCTGTGCCCAGGAAGATTTTAAAGCCTTAGAAACCCTATACAGAGTCTTTATGAGTCAGCACTGACTCCACAGCACTTAACAACAACAACATAGAAGGGCCTAGTCCAAGTATTTGTTTTTTCTCACTTGATACATCAAAGTAATAATGAAGATTTGTTCTGCTGCTGTAAAGGTTTACAGCCTCGGAAACTCTGTACAGGGTCGCTATGAGTTGGAACCAACTCCACAGCACTTAGCAACAACAACAACAACATTCACTTGAACAGAAGAATATAAGTAATCAAACGATTTTTAAATGTTTCCATGTTATGGGTTTTAAAGAAATGTGTACTATGAGATAGTATTTAGTCCTTCATATGGCAATTATATCAATTTTTGTTAATTCCATTTGTCTCAGAGCTTTGAATTTAGTGTTGTTTCTAGGTTATAGAGTCAGTTTCAACTCTTAACAACCTCATAGGATTCAACAGCACTTAGTAACAACAAATCTTTACGGGAATAGGTCACCAGGTCATTATCCAACAGAGCCATTTGGTGGGTTTAAACAACCAGTCTTTTGGTTAGCAGACAAGCACTTAACCACTGCAGAATTTATTATGTGTTTATTTCAGTAGTTTCCATCAATGAGCATAATTTCATAGCACAGTGTTCAGGCAGTTAGAAAACTATTTTCAGTCTTTTTTGGGCAAGTGAGTAGGTAGGAATGAGGATTAGAGTTAGGATTATGGCTACGTTCAGAGGTCTACACTAAATCTAGGCTTTGTTTAGTTTTAGAGTTGTGAATAGTACTAGGGTTAGTATTAGGGGTAATGGTTGGGCTAGGTCTAGGGTTAAGGGTTAGGCTTGATCTAATTTTAAGGGTTTCTTTCTTTTTTTTCTTTTTAATTTAAGGTTTTTATTGTGGATTGAGTGAAAGTTTACAGGGCATATCATCAGTTTCACATTCAACAATTCATATAACTTGTTTCATTACATT